TGCCGAGCTTATGCTCAGCTGCAACGCCCAGCGATGAAAGATCGCCAATCAGCGTGTTGAGTGGGACTTGCTTCACCACCAGTGGAGGAAGCTTCATTTTTGCTGCACTCGGGCTGGCAGCAGTTTCGTTGTCGACGGCGTCGCCGAAATCACCAATGACGCTGACGTTCGTCGCGGTGGCATCGTCCCGTCCACTCGCACCATCGGACTGGCCTTGATTTTTCTTCCTCTTCTTAGACCGCTTCACCGTGGCTGAGGTGGGATTCCCTACGTGGGAAGAGTAGCGTACCTATTCGAAATAGGTACACTCAAGCTACCCTCACCGCTGTTCTTCTTCTCCGTTTTCTCTCGGAGCCTGCTCCGGGAGCGCTGTCTTCCCATCACACGAAGCGACCGACACTACTGACGACGCGATTAAACTGCGAATGTTTGGAACAAACTAGAAACTTTAGAACAACTCGACAGAGCGAGCAAAGACCGAACTGTACTGCTTGACGTTCAAGCAGAGAATGATGATCTATCTATCTCTATCTATGATGCAGGATATATGCATTTAGATTAACATCCGACGTCCCTCCTTTTTTTACATATTCTGCACAAAACATACTTTCTAATAGCGAATTCGTTTATTATTCAGTTCCAACCTGGATCGGGTATCAGGATTGGGTCTGCTTGTTTTCTGACAAACGTCAGTTTGCTCGTTTGTTTTTAAAACCTAACTCAGGTTGAGGTTCGCACTGACAAAAAGTTCGGTTTCGCACTGGGTTGGAACTGGTTCCAACCCCGATAATAAACGAATTCGCTATAAGCCTCACAACTGACAGGATTTCCCGCAGTTTTTTTTATGAATGGGGCGGAGCAGAAAGTATCTTTTGTGCAGAATATGTCAAATAGGATGGACTTTGAATGTTAATATAATTGGATATATAGAGGCACCAGATATGTTTCACCGTCCGTTGTGTGTAACATCGAACATGTCTTTCAAGCAATTTTTTGTTCAAATTTGAAAGTTTCGGTGTGGGAAGAAATTAAGGGGAAAACTTGTTTTTACTACTAATTGTGGTTTGTTTAAAATTTATTTCCCGGAAAAAAGTGATCGTCAAAATCTATGTCTTTTTCGGGTTATTGTTGAGGGGTGGGGGGTTACGAGAGGTTTTTGATGGGGGAGGATAAAAGTTGTTGATGAGTGGGTGGTGGGGGGTTAGGAGAGGTTGTTGAGGGGGGGGGAGAGATTGTTGTGAAGGGGGGAGGGAGTTTACATACTTTAATTTTCCTCAATGTGGTCACGCCATGATCCACCTTTAGCCGCTGATTTGGTCCTGCTTACTGCAGGACCAAGTGCCACGCCGTCCAAAGCGACAATGAGCGAATGCATGACAGCAGCGCTGTTTTATATCTTTTCAGGTTCAGAACCTGAAAGGATTTCCCACCGTTTGTTATGAATGGGGCGGAGCAAAAAGTTTCTTTTGTGCAGAATATGTAAAAAAGGATGGACTTTGGATGTTAATATAATTGCATATATAGAGGTACCAGATATGTTTTACAGTCAGTTGTTGGTAATTCATCGAGTGTATGTCTCCTATTAAGCAATATTTTTTTTTTGAAAATGTTAGCTCTGCATGTAAAAAATTTATTGTTCATACATTATTGGGGTTTGCTTAACATTTATTTTCCGAAAAAAAATGATCGTCAAAGTCCATGTCTATTTCGGGTTATTGTTAAGGGGGAGGGGGAGGGGGTTGTTAAGCGGGAGGGGGTTTTACATGCACGTTTTTTCAAGTCTCATTCCTCATTGTGGTGGATAAGCTGTGATCCACCTTTAGCCGCTGACCTAGTCCTGCTTGATGCAGGACCTAGTGCCACGCCGTCCGAAGCGGTAATGAGTAGTGGCATGAGAGCAGCGCTGATTTATATCTTTTCAGGTTCAAGCAGAATGATGTGCAACCAAGTGGTATTCGTTTATGATGACTGGGTTTGGGAAAAAGGCTTATTTCATGAAATCAGTGTTAAAATTATCATTTGTACATTTTCAAAAGTTTAATTACAGAAAAATTGGAAAAATATTTATTTCAACAGGTTCGTAATGTAACATCCTATCGATTGGCGTATTTGGATTTTAATTTCATCTATAAATGACAAAGTTACAAGCGTTCAAAACCTAACACTCCTTCACCATACATATTTTTTGATTTGCACCCCAGTATAGTCGACAAAGACGTAGTTTTACGTCAAAAAAAAAAAAAAACAAAACCAACCAATCTATTCTTTATTGAAGGAATACAAATCATAATCACAAATTCAGTTTGCTTACTTAGTCAGCATGGTCGATGTCAGGCATGTCCGTAACAAGAGACGCCAGCTTCTTGCTGAATTCAGTTTCCTCCGGTGGTAAGGAATCTTGCATTGCATCCAACAATGGGCGGGAAGAACTCACCTGTGTCTTGAGGCAGTGTAGTTCTCTTTGGATTTGATTCATACTATCTGCCATTGAATCCGCTTTTGTACACAAGCCACTTACTGTTGCTAAAATTCCGTCTGCAATATTGTAAGCCACTTGTAATCCTTGACGCGTAACTTTAAGCTGATTTGCTTCAGAAATTGGAGCTCCAGCTTTATCCTTGCGTTCTGGGTGCAGTAGTAGTTTGCTGGCCTTCTCCCACATGGCTAGCGTTGCAATGGAGGAGGAGTATTTGAACACATGGACCGGAATATGTTTACCTCTCCAATGAGTTAGTAGCTTGTTGTTGTGCCAAATGTCCTCCATAGTATAAAATTTCTTATTTTTTTCGTGCTTCAACATCACAAATCTGTCCAAATCAATCTCATCTGGATTATTCTTAACAGACCATCTGATTTGTTGTTCATTGTCACTATGCTCGACCACTATCTCCCGAACAACATATCCACTGGCTGCTTCCCAGATGCACGTCAACAAACTTGACACAGAATTCCCGTACATGTCCTTTGAAGTAACCGGATCCGCCAAATGCTGTGATCTGAACAACCGAACGTAAAACACACCGATGAAATGAAATTGCTTGTTTTTGAACTGACCAACAGGAACATTGACAGTCATATTCAGCAGAGATCCATCGTTTTCCTTTTGGTGAGTTGATGAGGAACCACTTTTGTTCGACTCGATTGTGGCTTACTGGTCCTCAATATAATCTTCAAAACCGGTGCCAGACAGATTACTCAGGTCAAGAAATTCAATCTCCGCGAATGGGCCCGGATCTTGGTCAGAATCCACCTTTCTCTTCTTCGAACCTGTTGGTTCACTGCACAGTGGTCCAGAATGCAGATTTAGGTGGAATGATATGTTTTGAGCCTGAAATTGGAACTTTAGACTAAAAGTCTCTTCTACAAAATTGTTCCTTATAGTTAGGCCCTCATTTTTATGACAATGAATTCTAGGGTGATTCTATTATCATTAAAATCAAAAATCTAGCTTTTTTGTTTGAATAAATTAAGGTATACATTCTTCGGCAAAGTTATAGCTGAGCTAATTTCAAGCAACTTTGTAGAAAATAACTTTTTTGTATCTCTTAAATTGGCCGATTTAGAGCTATTTTCTTGAATTTAGTTAGGGTGGCTCTTAAAAAAACAGTTTTTTTGCTCTATTTTTCTTATTTCGAATTTCTCAGCAAAGGTGTCTTCAGATAACTTTTAGATCTTAAGAAGGCGCAAATTTTTGTTTCACAAAGCTTGTCAATATCTTTCGCCGATCAAGAGTTTTTGACGTTTTTATACTAAAAATATGCACTTTTCAAATGTCAATATCTCTGTTTGGGGCAAACAAAAAAAAAGTTTTTTTTGCAGCATTTGAAAGGGCGTATATTATTCTCAATAATTTGGAAAAATTGGAGGTATGTTATTTTTTAAACTCGTATAAAATCAATTTGAATTTATTCATATTTTTTACTATATTTGAGTATATCTTTTTTATTAGAAGAGATACAGGCAACAAATTCAAAAGTAAAACATTCGTCTTAAAGAGTTTTTAAAGTCTCTAGAAGATGACTTTCATGATAAATTTCAAATAACCTTCCATGTCAGAGGTTTCCATGCTGAAAAGTAAAATATTGAGAGTTTTTATAATCTTTGTGCTCACATCTTAAAGCAAAAAATCACTTAACTTACGTGCAATCAGCAGCAATCTTTTGTAGGTTCGAGATTTGAGTTCGTTAATGCTACACGGTTAGAAAAAAGTACCCAAAATTAAGTTCTTTTCACTCATCTCGGCACTATAGTGCAGGAATCCAAAAGTAAGTAAAGCGGGTCAAAGTAATTTTCATTTACTTGTGTGCAGTTCGTATTTAATTTTCCACTAGCTTTTAACCAAAAGTAAGTTAGTTGTACCCAACAGTAGGTAAATATGATTATACCCAACGTTGGGTTCCCACACTTTACTACCCCTGTTGGGTGGTTTTGCTCCTTCTTTTTTGACAACATTAGAAGGAGAAAATGAGACAAACTAGTCAAAAGTAGGTAAAAGTGAACTGGCCGTTGGGTACTTATTTCTTACCGTGTAGGTTGTTACAATTTTTTGTTTTTGTTTTTGATTCAATGTTTTTGTTTTGGTTTCAATTGAAAGGGGTGATTCATGAGTAACTCTGGTCGGGAATGAATCACCCCCACGTAATGAAAACTGGCAAAAAATAACCGGTAGAATCCAATGTTGAGCTGAATTCACAATACATTGTTGCAAAGATTTACTTTGCTCTTCATTTTGAACTTTTACGCACGAAACAAAACAAAACTGCACAACGAAGAGCTCTATGATGGCATGAACTTTTTTCACGGATGCCAGTAAGATCATTTATTTTTCATGGTTGCCGAAACAACTTTTTGTGCCTCCGCTTATCTATGGAATCTATAGTATCTATAATGCAGAATAGCTAGTACAGTGTGTGTATGATTTTGAAAACACGTGTCCAATATGTTTAATCTCGTCATAAAATAACATTGACATATTTGCATATTTTTGAATATTTATTCATCCCACCTGAGCAAGCATTACATCATGTGACCAGGAATCCGATACCTCTTGTATCCGAATTGATGCGTAAAAATGTAGCACAACGTGAAATCCAGAAAAAGCTTATATATCAACTGTTATCGATTAACAACCCTGGACCGCTTCGCTCAACAGCTGACTTTGAATCCGGATCCCATCATTCGATAACCACCACTCGTAGAGTTTCGTTGAACCATTATAACGTTTCCCTGGTGGGTGGAAGGTCTGCGTCCTCCATTAGCTGGCATTAGAGCATTTTGTACAGTTTCTGTTAGTTTCAGCTTGTCTCGTTTCTGAAGAATACCATTACGTTTAATTTTCTCAAATAATAAGATTCATGGCGGTAACTTACCTGCTTAACTAGCTCTTTCTTGGTTTCCAGCAGCGACTTTTTCAATTCTTCAACCAGGCATTCCTGGCTCTTGCTGTCAATCTCCTTCACGCGTATTTCCGCCGATAGAGCCTTCAGTTTCTTGGTCCGTGCAGTCAGTGCCCTTTGAGTAGCACATAGTTGCTCCTTCATCTTCTGATGTGGCAACTTTTCCACCACTTGCTTCAGTTCACCGTACATCTTATCCGATTCTTGAATGGTTTTTTCTTGTTCGGAAACGGTAACCGATTGGTACAGAACTCTACGCTGCAGCGTTTGTACTTTGACAATCAGATCCATCTTTTCTGGATCCTTGCCAGACAACTTGCGCCAGCGGTGTACATTCATTGGCGTCAGCATTTCATCCTCGAGAGCTCTCGCCTTCACACGTTCTTGATTCAAAACTCTATGTAATTGCAATGTTTCCTGACGCACGTCCGCTGTGTTGGCCAGCCCTCTTGTCAGAAGATTTCTCTGCGATCTCAGATTGCTGATCTCTATTTTCAATAGTCGAATGTCGTCCAACCGATCTCTGTATTGACTCTCGCCCCGATCCAGCGCCATGTTCAACATATTCATTTTTTCCGTTAGATTATTAATCTCATCTACGCGTTGCGTCATCTGCACTTTGATCAAATCTTTCTCATTGATCGTTCCATCCAGCTGCTTCCGTAGACGTACCATATTTGCTTCATCCTCCGTTAGTGTCTTGTTCAGGCGGACATTTTCCATCATTTTCTCATGTAATTCGGATTTAGTGTGCTGTAGAGTGATCGATATGTTCTGGACTTCTGATTTCAAAGTCTGTTTTTCCTTTTCGATCTTATCAATCGTTTTGTTTGCTTTGAACAGTTCTGCTACTTTGGAGGAATTTTCTTCCTTCAGCTGATCAACTGTGTGGATGGAATTCTTCAGTCGGTCTTTCAAACTACTATTATCATTCATGCAAACAGCCAAGTCTCGCTCGAAGATGTTTCTCTCGCCTCTAGTCAATTCCAAAGAATTTTGACACTGGAACAGCTTCGAATCTGTTTCCTTCAACTTCTCACGCAACTCCACAATCTGATTCTGTCTGTACAGCAGATCCTCGTTCATTTGTTCGATCTTGTCGCTGAAATTTTGAAGTTCCTCCGCGTTTCGATCACGATCCTTTTCTACTTTCAACATCAGCATGCTCTGCTTTTGCGCGGCTGCCTGATAACCCTTGATTTCATTTTCAAGTGTTTTTTGCTGTTTCTCCAACAAGGTTATCTGCTCCATCAAATCAGAGATCGATTCTGAAAAATACAGATTGTTAATAGCAGAACAATCTACCAGTATGGTGGTACCAACTGTTCCCCTTGGCCAAATCTTTCCTAGCCAAGTCTCGCTCACGAAGAACCGCATCCACCTGCTTCTTGGATAAATCGAAAGCTTTCTTTGTAGCATCACGTTCTTTTTCAAAAGTTACAATCACATTTCTAAAGCGATCCAAATATATTACATACAACGTTAGATGAAACATCGAATAACACCTATACTCACTTGTATTTTGTAACTTCTTGTTCAAAGGTACTCTTAGCCGTCTCTAGTAGTACAATCTTCTTCTGTAACAGTTCTTTGTTCTTCGATAACTTCGCATTCTCCAGTCTAAATTTATTATTTTCATCTTCCTTCAGTTTTAGAATGTTAACCTTCGTGTTTAACTCATTTGTAACCTTCTCCTTCAGTTGCACCATGTTCTCAAAATCCCCCTGAGCTTTTGCAAGCTTCACCTGTAGCAAATTATTGCTTGTAGTCAAACGCTCCAGAGTTGTCCGAATAGCTGCCATCTGCATCCCCTGCTGGACAGTAGTCTTATGGCTCGCTTCTGCTTGCTGCTTAAAGTGCTTCGCTTCATCGGTTTTCTGTACTAACTCGGTCGAAACCTCCAAATGCTGAGCCTGTAAGTTCTCCAACATTCGCTTGTCGCGAAAAGCGTCATTCGATGTCTCATCCAGCACTTTGTACAGCTCCTTGACCTTAATCTCGGAGTCATTACACTTCTGTTCCAACTCTTCTGTATAGGTCCGTTGCGTAAGCAGACGACGGTTCAGCTCTTCAACCTCCACGAACAGACGATCGCGTTCTCTCAAAATATTCTCCTTGTGCTTCCCCATTGCCGTTCCCACTTCATCTTCCTTATCACCATGCCTATCAGAGTCAGCAGACAGCTTCTCCAACTTTTCACGCATTTGATTCATTGCTTCCTGTGCCGTCTGCTCACGAGATTGAGCTGCATCCGCTCTCTTCCAAGCATCCTCAATTTCGGATCGCAACGCCAGAATCGTATCTTGATCCTTCTGGGAAATCGCTAAAGCTTGGGAGACTCTTCCAGCAGCCGCCGAGACTTCGTCTTGCATCTTCTCAATTTTATCTTGTTCGTCCAACAACTGCTGCCGCAACTGTTGACTGGTAAGCAATAACTTTTGAAAGTCTTCAGCCAAGCCATACTGTTGGTTTCCTTGTAAGTCTTTCACCGTCTACAACAAATTAGAACTGTAACCCAAATTTAAATGAACTATTTGAGGTCAACTATCTATTTACCAAGTTGGCTTTCGAGCACATCTCCTCGAAAAATTCATCGGATATTTCCTTCGGAATGAGATCATCTTCAAATGTTGACTCTGGTGCCTGGGAGTCTTCTCCACTTTCCTCAACGATTTGATCCATTTCGATTTATTGATGTTGGAGGCTTGATGTGACAATTTCTGTTTAAAAAAATGTTTGACCACTTGGGACACTTGCTGAGGAAAGAAAATTGTATGCCCTAATTTATCCTCGCAAACAATCGTTTCGTAGTTCCATGGGAACGTTGCGTCCTACGCGACGGAATTGGAACGCTTGGTGGGTAGGTGGGAGAGCCACGCGTCGTACAAACAATTGAGCAACAGGTGGACAGTGCAAGGAGGACCTATTTTTTGTTAGTGTTTTGTAATTTGCACGTCTAGGTGGAAATGGATGTTGATAACCTACTTCGATGAACAAACTGCACACAGTTAAACAAATTAAATGAAACAAATAATAACAAATCTCGCGTCACTTTTCAAATAAACCAAAATGATCGATTCTCTGCATCGACTCTCTCTTTTGTTAAAAACTCTGCTCCAAAAACATGTTCAGTTGTTCTTATCGCCCAATACGCTTAGTTGTACTTTCTTTTAGCAGACTATGTTGAAAAATTAGCCCTAAATATGAATGCAACCATGTCATTAACGAAAGAGAGAGTCGATGAAGATGAGATTGGTCTATTTGAAAAGTTAAGTGATAAAATGTCTATTTATCGCTTGCTCTAGTGCTTGTCACTTTCTAGCTTACTCCTATTGTAATGAATTAATAGGAAATTTAATCTAACTTATCGTTAAATATAATTCTGTGGGCGCTTTTTGACGTAGACTACGTCTTACGGGAAGGTACTGGGGGTAAATCGCAGGGGTAAGCAGCAGCAGTAGCAGTAGGGAGGCGGTTCCTGTCAAGCACGCAGCGTTTGAGTTTTGCACCTTGAACCTTGCGCGTCGTTCTCGTCGAGATAACTGGCTGCTGGCAGCGGCGTCGCCTCGATGTCGCAAGCGCTCCGAAGTGGATCAACCCCTTGCCTGAATGATATCGATCCCGGGTTCTACAAATCTCGATTACTTTTCGGAAGGACATATCAGCTTTTGTAAACAACGCATTTTATCGTCAGTTGGCGTAACTGATAGCTCGCCCACGCATACTAACACCACTATATCAGGTAAGGGAAATTTTCCTTTATCTTAAGGTAGTGTTAGCATGCGTGGGTGCCGAGTTAAGTTTAACTAATGGTTAAACGTGACATTTCGAAAGCTATTTTCAATGTTTGAAAATCCCGGAAATTGATCGGTTTTCAAACAGAACTCAGCAACGGTTGCCAAAATTTATCTTCTAGTCGGTCCGAAATAACCACGCTTGGATAGCAGGGTTATTCGATAACTCATCTGTCACTTTTAACCACGAGTTTAATTTAACTCGCCCATTGAGACACAGCCTTGGAAGTAAAATTGGGGCCATCCATAAATGACGTAGATTTTTTTTACAAATTAACCGCCTTCCCGTGTTTTGCTATACACCTAATACATGGCCGGTCCCAACTTCTGAAACCCCTCTCCCCCCTCAACTACTACGTTATTTATGAAAGTTCCCTAATCATTGGGCAACAGTGAAAATCAGCAGCACACCACACAAAACGGGTTAAACATTTATAGGAAATTTCGGTATTGATCGTCAATATCAGAACAAGATCAGAACATTTTAGCTTGAAATCCCTCCATTTAATTCTCGGTACATCTTTAATCTATTGATTGAATTTAAAAAATACTAAATAATATTTTGTTTTTTTTTTTGAGATTTCGTGCGTTTTGTGAACGCACATGATGATGATAATGGTCCCACTTCTTACCCCTACAAAGGTTTGAGCTGGACGATTTATCTTTAAGATAATTAAATATGACATTTTAACCAAGTTGGCAAACAAAATCGAACTGGTTTCAGTTACAGATATAAATTCCCTCTAGAGTGTACAGTTGCTTCACAGCGATATAAATGTGGAAAAGCTCAGGCGTCCACCTCTTAATTCGCCTTTTTTCCACCTAAAATATTCATAAGTTTTACAAGCAATCAAGAGTTAATGAACAATCAACAAAGCATCCTATTACACTAGCAACCCCGCAATCTGATTCTATCATAATTTTCAGCAATGTCAGGAATGCTCACGAACCCCCAACATTTACCAGAAAACTTACTACTAACTTCCAAATAAGCTTCAAAATTTCATTTTTTTTATCAAATGTTAAATTCAGTCCTCTATATCCGTAATACGCGCGCGAGGCTCAAACCTTTGTAGAGTACTTTTTTTTTAATTAATCTACTTTTAAATCAAATATTAAAAATCCATCATCACCCTCGTGGCAAACATAAATAGTTTTTTGCAGTGCTACAATAATTATTAAAAAGTCGTTATGACAGCTATCCATATATAAAATAATCCGTTAGAGATAACTTCGTCAAGATACATAATTTGTCAATTCATAAAAAAAAATCACTGGATAACTGTTCAAAAGACAGTTTTAACGTGTGAAATGCAGTGTCTTTTAAATTCTGTAAGTGTTGCTGAACGTTTGATATGTCTAGGCATCGAATTGAAAACATTTATTTCTTTATAATATAATGAATTTTGTGAAGCACAAGTCAAGAAATGTGGTGTTCTTATTTCATCCGCGTTTCTAGTATTATATCTATGATAGTCACTTCCTCTTTCAATTCAATCACACAAATATCGAGGCAGAAAACCGTTAACTACTTTAAAAATGAACACCATAGTCAAATATACAATTCTTTGCTTCACCGACAACCATTGTAAGGCGTCTAACATCAAAGTTGAGGAAGTGAATCTATTACATCTCAAAATCAAACGCATTATTTTATTCTGCAAGCGCTGTAATCTCGATATTTGTGTTGCATTGGCCAGAAATAAAATGGAAGGGCAAAAGTCAAGATGAGGAGAGCTGATTGATTTGTATAGCTGTATTTTACTGGCAATAGTTAAATCGTTTTTCAGTCGACATAGAATTCCATACTTCTTGGTAATTTTCTTGATGACATTGTCAATGTGATAGTTGAACTTAAGTGTGTCATCAATAATCACGCCAAGATATTTAATCTCCCGAACGCGATCAATAGTCTCATCATCAATTACAACAGAGACGTTCTCATTTACTCGATTCCGCAAAATTACCATAAATTTAGTTTTACTTGTATTCAATTTTAACTGCTTATACTTCAACCATCTACTTAGAGAACGTAAATCTTCATTCAAATGTAAAACGGCATCATCTAAATCCTCCACATAGACGTCCTAAATGAATAACACAGTATCATCTGCAAAAAGATTAATGTCGCAAAATCGTAAAACACGTCGCAAGTCATTAATATACATAATAAATAACAGGGGCCCTAAAACACTTCCCTGGGGCACTCCAAGGTTATTCCCCACGGGACTGGAAACAGAATCATTAAAAACAGTCCGTTGAGTTCTGTCAGACAAATAGCTTTCAAACCATTTATATGCAGTACTCGTAATTCCAAAGCGCTTGATTGATCTTAACAATAAGGGCCTAGAAATTGTTTCAAAAGCGCGTTTAAGATCCAAAAAAACAGCAACAATCGTATCTTTACACTCGAAGTTATTTTTCCGCTTCGCATTCATTATTTTGCAAAAGAAAACGGGTTGTTTCTGTGGTGATAAAAAGGATTATCCTACATAGATTACAGTTTTCTGTACCATTGCATTGAAATTATTTATTTACTATAAATGATCTTTATTTCTTGTGTTTGTGTATTACTTATCAAGTGACACAAATGCGTCTTTTCAACTTTAGTTCGTTTGAAATTTCAATTATTATGAATTACAGTTCCTAGTCCTATCAGGCCTGTTTTAAGAATGACCACCTTGGTGGGATTGGTTTGTTTTAAATTTGAAAAATGAGACTAATTATAACTACTATTTACAACTACAACTAACCTACAACTACTATATACACCTTATCTACTATATAAAAATTGATTATCAAAGCATGTTCTGATAAAATACATTTTGTGCAAATTTAGTGTTAATTTGGTTAATTCTGGAATCTACTTTGGAAATGCCTTTCTCTTCGTGTAAATTTATTATTCTAGTGTCGAAAGGACAATCAAGAACCATCATCAGCACTCTATTCTGAGCGACCTGAATTTTGTTCCTGTGAGTCTGTGCACATGATTCCCACACCGGAGTTGCGTAGAGGATCGCAGGTGCTATGATTTGTTTGTAGACGGCCAGTTTGTTCACCCTTGAGAGGCGGGATCTGCGGCAAATCACCGGATACAGACACCTAACCAAGACAGAACACTTGACTACTGTTTTCTCTACATGCGAACGGAAGAGGAGCTTGTCATCGAACAACATCCCGAGATAGGTTACTTCGGCAGACCACTCAACCCTTGTGCCATCCATGATTACAGTACAAGATGGAGCCGGTTTCAGTTTGGGTGATTGCCGATGGAGGAACATGATCGCTTGTGTTTTGGAGGCATTGATTTTGATTTTCCACGTGGTGGCATAATCAGCAAAGGCGTTAAGGCATCGTTGAAGTTTGTTCGTTATTTCGCGAGGCATCCTTCCTTTGACGGCTATTGTGGTATCATCTGCGAACAGGAAAAATACGCAACCGTCTCCAAGGGGAGGAATGTCGGAAGTGTAAAGGCCCACGCACATTAGATCCGGATCGGACGCGTTGCGGTAAAATGACAGCTAAATCTATTGTCTAACTGTCAAATTTACGTCAACGCAACGCAAACGGATCTAATGTGGGTGGCCCTTAAATGCTGTAAAGCAAGGGGCCCAGCAGACTGTCTTGCGGGACTCCTGCTGGGATGGAAAACGTGTCTGAAAGACAACCATTCAACGATACCGTAGTTACGGGTGATTTTAACCAGATGTAATGGGAAGTTGAAGTTACAAAGCTTGTACACAAGTCAGTCATGCCAAACATTGTCAAACGTCTTTTCGATGTTTAGCAAGGCCATGGCTGTGGACTTGGATACAGTTTTGTTACTTCGGATGTTATTCATCACCCGTACAAGCTGATGATTGGTGGAGTGCCCCTTTCTGAATCCAAACTGTTCCGGAAGGAGAAT